TCCTTGTGTCTTCTTCCCCTTTTTTTTTTCTCCCTTCCTCTTTTATATCTATGTCTTGTCCAATTATTGGCTATCTCAGATATTGGGTTTTTTTCTTCTGCATTTTTGATGTGTTGTCCGGTAGGAAGGGTCGTAGGGTCTGTGTGGTTTAATCATCTTATTAGAAGGCACGCTGGAATATCATTTGACTTTATATAAGGGCTGAATTCTTTGGAGGCGTTGTTTATAATGGCACAAGATAACCTGGTCGATGTGAGCTAGAGAGGGGATCCCTATAGGGACGGATTCGGCTCTAGTGGAGAATAATTTTTGTCCGCCACGGCCAACCACGCTATTGTGGTGGTGAAGATGCAATTCCCGTAGAGAGTACTATCCAATTTGAGCAGAACAGAAGTTCACGAAGGGCTGTTCTAATAAGTGAAGCACAAATTGAGTTGGCTAGGGCAGGGTTTTGTGGTAGGCGATAGTTATTTATCGTTTATAGGAACGAAAAGGGAACAATCAGATTGTCGTTTTGATTGCCTGAGAACGACTAGAACCTACCGGAATATGGATTTTAACTGTATATTAAAAAGACTCCCCCTCTCTAGGCCTATGGAAATCACATGGTTCCGCAGATAACTATATTGAAGAGAAAGTTTCTGGAACACCAAGTCCCCTGATAGTGCAAACCGCGAGGAATTATGGACAAATCACGATTCCTAATATCACGAATTATGTGTTATTGTACTATCAAACAGCTTTTGTTGTGTTTCAAATATTTAGAGAACTGTAATTTAAACGAATTCATACTCTATGAGTATGAAGTTTATACAAGTGTGGTATGAGCGCTTTTGCTCGGCTAATGGCGGATACTTGCTGGGAAACCAGTCTTGACTTGTCATCCTTTTTTGTTTCACATGCACTCGAATTTCACTGTTTTTCTTCTGGCCTCTGAGGGCTTTTTCATATGTTTGTTTTTTGTGTTTTATTGCCCCTTAATGACAGGCAGGATGTCACAAGCTCTTTTCAAACTACAGATCTTATTGCAACATTCAGGTCCATGTGTTGTTGACAAGCTGCTGGTACAAACTGAATGCTGTCTTGTTTCTCTGCATTCCTAATGGTTGCCCAAGTTCTTGTGCTATCGTCAGGGGAAGGTTCCAATCCAAACCAACAAAAAGCCTTGCATTTCCCCTTCTTTCTGTCCATAAAATTACTCACAACATTGTGGTCCTGGGGACCAACTTGAGTTGCTGCTCGTGATACATATTGCTCCTTTGCGCATGATTTGTTCCCATATAATTACACTGGAATGCGGGCAGGGTCACGTATTTGGTTGTGTTTGAGCGACACCATTTGCATAATGTTATGCAATTACCGTGCGTGTGTGAGGCCTCTATTTGCCCAATTTTGCTTATGTTTATAATTTTTTTTCTACTACCATTCCTTCCATGACCCAGAATTTCTCCTACGCTCTAGGGCGCATGTTACGGCTTTTTCAGGTTTAGTGTGTTTAGGCGAGGCTCTGGTCACGGCGTGTACATAGGATGACAGCGGCTATGAGACTGTGCAGGTCGGTTGGCCAGGTTAACCTCCCAGGTATACAAGATTCCCCATGGGAATCCAGTTACCACAAAGAAGCCATAACTGTGTAACTCTTGGTTCCCACCAAAACAAATGTTCCCCTGAGATCTTCATATAGTTGGGGGTTGAACTGAGGAGTGGGGTGGGGGGTTCAAGTTGGTTGGAGTGATGGAATTGCTATGGAACAAATGTGGGGTGATTGTAAGCTTGAAATTAACAGCATCATAATTGACCATTTTTTAGCTTTGTGGCCTTGTAAATATAGCGGCGGGTCAAATGTATGATGTGGTTTGTCCCTTGTCTCTAAACAACTCCAGGGAACAGTACTGCGCAACTTTAATATATATATAACATTGTAGGGAATACTATTGGTTATGTGGTAGGTATGAATGTGCCATGGAGGTAGTCATAGATGATGCAATTGTAGTAGGAGTGCTTGAACTTTATGATAATCATTGTAAGGCAGGAAAGTCTTTTCGTGGGGTGTCTTCTATCACGTATCCTTGATCTCCTGTCTGTGGTGACTCTAATAAATAATACAATTAGCAGCAAATTAGTCCGTCCATCCAAGAAGAATTGATTGAAAAATAAGTTTCCAAGGTGTAATCCCTGTAATAATTCTTGACAACTCAAACCTGTGCTATTGATTATTTGTAAAACAGTCGAAGAGTCGTTAATAAGTTGGCCACTCTGGTTGTAATTTCTCCTTTCTCATTTTTCTTGGGGCTGGGTTGTAACTATAAGCATTATTTCTCGATATATTATTCCTTATCATTTACCATAAGAAGCTTTTGAATGGAAAGCTCGAGGTGATCCTCTAAATCCGATACTTTTAATCCAAACTTGTGTCGGTCAAGGTGAAAGACGAAACAGACGGGGCCTCTTTATCTACATAAATAGGTGTCTCAGCTTTGATATGACGCAATGAAGCCGTCACAATATTCTGCGAAGGGAACATCTATGACTATGTGAAGCGAAAAAGCGAACTCGCGTCGTCTGATAATTTGGGCGCCACCTCCGTTACCCTAGTTATGCGACACTGGGAGCATTTTGGACCCTTTCTGCCCTCAGAAAACAAGAGATAAGTGGAAAAGCCTTGGAAACAGGGACCAACCAAAACCCAAAACCCACAAAAAAACCAGAATAATTTAAAAAAAAGAGTGCAAACGGTGAGAAAACTTCTGTTCCTAGGCAATAGTACTTATTGTAGAAGGTCGTTTTTGGTAAGCGACAAAATACCAT